AAATTTTAAATTTTAAATTTTAAATTTTAAATTTTAAATTTTAAATTTTAAATTTTAAATTTTAAATTTTAAATTTTAAATTTTAAATTTTAAATTTTAAATTTTAAATTTTAAATTTTAAATTTTAAATTTTAAATTTTAAATTTTAAATTTTAAATTTTAAATTTTAAATTTTAAATTTTAAATTTGAAGTTCTAAATTTTATATTTTTAATTTTGAATTTTAAATTTTGAAATTTATATTTTATATTTTTAATTTTGAATTTTAAATTTTGAAATTTATATTTTAAATTTTAAATTTTATATTTTAAATTTTAAATTTTAAATTTTAAATTTCAATTTTAAATTTTTAACTTTTAATTTTGAATTTTAAATTTTAAATTTATATTTTATGTTTTAAATCTTAAATTTTAAATTTGAAGTTATAATTTATAAATTTTAAGCTTTAAGACCTAAATTTAAAATTTTATATTTTAAATTTTAAATTCTGAATTTCGAATTTTAAATCTTAAATTTTAATTTTTAAGTATTACATTTTGAATTTTTAGTTTCTAAATTTTAATTTTAACTTTTCATTTTTAAATTTTAAGTTTATATTTTAAATTTACAAAAATGGAAGTGTTTTGAGGAAACGAAAAAAGTAAACGAGGAGCTGTTTTAAAAAACGGATGGAGGAGTTAAAGAAAATGATATTTTTTTGAGAAAATATTTTACCTTCTACCAAACAACAGATTATTTTTTTTAAAAAAATATTTTTACTCCAACCAAATACAACCAATACACAAGAACAAGATGACACAAGATGATCTGAATGAATCTAAGTGTATAATAACATATTGGTTGACTCAATTGCCAGATCTGGACATTAGCGCCCAGCCTTGGCCCAGCGTTTACTGGGCTAACACCTCCAGCGGTTTAGCCCAAAGAAGATTACAGGTAGATTGATGATCAGCATTCAGCAAGCAGATCAGAGCTTTATGAAAGACAATAGCCCCCATCTCACACTGAGCTCCACCATTTCAACATAAATCACTGAGCTCCAGAACCACACCCAAAATTTATCGAAGAAACCATTCCAATCACTATCAGGTTAGCTAGCCTAGCAATTACTTTTTTTTATATTTTAAAAATTTTCAATCTTGTTTGGCGCGAACGTTTATATGCCTTCCCCCATCCTGTTTGGACACTTTTATCGGCTAAATTGTGAAAAAGATTGAACTTTTAATTTCATTTTGGCTTATTGACCAAGATATGGAAATTTTGAACTCCAAAGCAAACATTTACAGTAAATTGGTATGAACCCAGTTTTTTTTCTTTTGTTTCTCTATACCAGTGTACTGCTATTAATGTTTGGGTTCCACTCTGAAAAAGTATAGCTGAATAGGGGTAGTGCCACATTGGCACTGTTTTGAAATTGCCCAGCACGAGATTGTTAAGGTGGAATGGGATTTTGTGGTCAAGAGGGAAAATTATCTTTCAAGAACAATGGAACCTTAATCTCAGGATAAACAAAGTAGCAAATGTGGAAACTTTTTGAAGGACAACATTTGAATCGTTAAAGAAGATCAATTTTGAATTTTGTGTGCTCGTTGTTAAGGCTAAGCTAAGATCAAACTGTTCAATTTATCTCAGTAGCATCCATATTAAAGCTTGTGTTTCTATCCTAAAAGGTAAACCTGATTGAAAGAATAGTCCAAGACCTTATAGTAGTATGTTGGTTTGGATCTTTATGTTTTGCCGGTGTAGAATGGCTTAAAAGATTTAGCTTTCATTTTCACGTTTACTTGGTTTGAAAAGAAATAAGTTTACGGATGATGATATTGTTTCGTTCATTGTATTTGGCAGCAATACAAAGTGAGCTGTTTCATTCAGCTCTTGGTTTCAGATGGAGCCATATAGGTATTTTTCCAGGCTGCTTTATCACTGCTTTGCTTTGTCATCCTCCAATAGTGAAATGAATGTCTTGAAGTTTCCTAGTTTGAAATGTAATACTATAATACCTACAATTATGTGAAAGCTGAATGTCATTTCAGATTGAACTCTCCTCACACATCTGTAATCATGTTTGAGACGCTTGGATACCAACTTCAGTTTTCTCAGGTAACCGTCTCTTGGTTGTATGCCTATTGGTGGAATATAGATATAGATTTTCCTTGCCCAGTTAGTTACTTCATTAGTCAGTTAGAAAGTTGTATTTTCTGTTATTTTCTCTTCTCTTCTTATATACAATTGTCATTCTATTGATCTGTAAGTTTTACGCACAATAATCAGAAGATTTCGCTACACAATCTGTTTCTCCTTCTTCTTCATGCTATCCATTTCTTGTGTAGATCAACATGGTATCAGAGTTATCTCTATGAACCCTAATTGCATCTCCTGATATCTTCTCTGTTTCTTCATTTCAATGGGGAATTGAGTTTCCAATTCGTCGAACACGTCAAATTCGATCCATCCTTCCAGTCTTTTCAATTTGCTTCCCTCTGATCATCCAGGACTGATTCTGATTTCTAGGAAATTTGATGGCAATGGATTTGGATAATTGGATCTTGGAAAAAATCCATGACAATAGCTCTTTCTGCAAAGAACAAGCTAGATTTCGTCAGTGTTGGGAGTCTGTGTGTTCCCACATAGGATGATTATTTACAAAATACTACCTCCGTATAAAGAAAGGTGAAACACTATCCATTAGCTTACCACTTTTGGTTAGAAAGTGGATCCAGACTTTATATGGGAAAGTGGTCAAAGCTCACCCAATCCACTCCGCCCTCTGAAATTCCAACATGGTATTAGAGCCAAGTTCGATCCGGGTTCGATTAATCTTGGTAATCATCGGGCTAGCTATAAAGGGATTGAATGCTAGACCCATTTATTCATCCAAGTAGTAACTAGATGAGGCTAGTTACCACTTGGGGGGGGGGGGTGTTTGGAGTTCATGTCTTCCCACACCGGATGATTAAATCAACTAACCACCTCCATATAAAGAAAGGTGAAACACTACCCATTAGCTTAATATTTTGGTTAGAAAGTGGATCCCGACTTTATATGGGAAAGTGGTCAAATCTCACTCGACACTCCACCCGATTCACTCCGCCCACCGAAATTCCAACACCTATTGATAATATTTTAATTATTACTCTTAGATTGAGAGGTTTCCTCTTAGATTTCTTCCTTCTTTTCCAACTTACTACAACAGGATCCTAATTCGAAGCACTTGGGGACAACAATTTGGGATGCATCAATGGTGTTGGTCAAATTTCTGGTACGCTTTCAAGTCCCTTCTTGAACCGTTTATACCTTGTGGATTTAAAATGTTTCAAGTTCTACAAATCCTTTCCTATAACATAATCTACTGAAGTGATTTAGGAATGTATATAACTCAATTCACAATAACAGGAAAAGAATAGTCGAAAGGGAAGGTTTTGCCCATCCAAATTGAAGGGAAAGCGGGTGATTGAGCTTGGAGCGGGCTGTGGAGTTGCTGGATTTGGTAATCACAAGCTCCATCTTTTCTTTGAATGTAATGCATTTTTGTTTCTATGAATATCTATGGAGTATAAAACTGAAGTGGGGTGACCTTTGTAGGCATGGCATTACTTGGATGTGATGTTCTTTCGACAGACCAATCTGAGGTTTTGCCATTGTTGATGAGAAATGCTGAGCGTAATACTTCCAGGGTAATGCAATCGATACTTGATTCAGGTATCTGCGCATTAATCTCACTTTGAATTTCTTTTTTCATTTTGTTTAATAGATACTTTATTGTGTTTTGTTTGTTACTCCCTCTGTCCAAAAAAAATATTTTCTTTTGGGACGGGGGAATACATTTGAACAAGATGCTTGTATTATATTCTGCTTTCAGGGACTTAAACTCTTTTTTTAATAGATTCGTTTGGTTCGATAACGGTTGCGGAGCTAAATTGGGGCAATGAAAATCAAATAAAAGCTGTGGAGCCACCATTTGACTTCATCATTGGCACTGATGTTGTGAGTTCTTGAAGATCATGAAAATCACATTAGCTTAGTGAGCAAACACACTGAAAACAATCATAATTGATATGTGTTTTTCGGAGTCTCCAGTCTGCACTTTTGGTTGTTTCCTGCCATCTATGTTTTTTCTTATCTATTTACGAACAATACCTTCATCCTTGTGCTGACTAGGTTTACACCGAACATCTTTTGGAACCACTTCTGCAGACAATTCTTGCACTCTCTGGACCCAAAACCACAATTTTGGTATATCAGTTTTAAACTTGCTTTGAATCAAGCGAATCGTGTCTTTTTCATCTAAGACTTTACCATCACTTGTTTCCAATACTGCAGTTGGGATATGAAATCCGCTCAACGAATGTCCATGAAAAGATGCTTGAAATGTGGAAGAGAAACTTTGAGGTCAAGACAGTTCCAAAATCAAAGGTAGTGGCTGATTGTTTCTAAGTATTTGTGCTATTTGATCACAGAATAAAACACTTTTTCCTTTGTTTATTGTCCTATTTGCTCAATATTCAATAGAAAGTTGAATCAACACATAAGTAATGTGGTTGATATTGTCAAGAAACCAACTCAGGCAAAAGTTCAAACTTGTGGTTGTAAGGCTTAGGAAGGTATTGAACTCTAACACACCCCCTCACGTGCAGGCCAAATTTGTGTTTGCTCGAACCTTGCACGCGAACATTAATTTTTTAAAACTGGGTGGTGGTGAGGTTCGAACCCATGATGTCTTGGTCATCAAGACTCCGATACCATGTCAAGGAGCCAATTCAACTAAAAGCTCACGCTTGTGGTTGTAAGCCCATGATTGGTTTTTATACTCTAACACAACCAACTCAACCAAAAGCTCAAGCTTGAGGTTGTAGTTCCAAGAAAGGTATCATACTCTAACAGATATGTCCACTTCAGTGTTTTTCCTTCATTTATTGACTCAAGAAAGCGAGACTATAGTGAATTAACATGTTTCTTTTACTGATATGGACCAATAATCTTGTAGATGGATAGTAACTATCAGCATCCAAGTATCCAATTGTTCATAATGAGGTTAAAGCCAACCGGGGGGAGCTCACAATGCTCCGCAGAAGATGTGTCTGCTCATAAGATGGAAACGGGTGGATTCAGAGAACACGAACATGATGAATCAGGCGAAGAAGAAGAAGAAGAAGATTACAACAGTATCAATGTCAGGGAGGTGGATGATTTGAGTGGCAATGAAGTGGCTGTGGGTGAAAAGCTACTTGTTGATCTGGAAAATAGAAAGCTTAGTGAATGGGAAACCAGGAGATATGGTTCTGTAGCTGCCCGGCTTCTTCGCGATATCAAGATTACATAATCCTAACTCTGGAATAAATAAGTGATCAATGAGGGTTTGTATACTGAAGCAATGAACATTTTATGGGAAATTGTATTTTATGAACTAACAATAGGATGTAAAAGTTTGTAATTGCATTGTGACTATAAGTTTGAAGAATAGGAGTGGAGAGATCAAAGAACCATCTTCTGCAATACTTTGGCTGATTCTGAGCACAGAGCACTTGATTTGTTTTAGAATTCAATTTGACTTGGGACTTGCTATGACTCTCTATGAGGCTATGGATTCTTGAATAAACTTATGGAGATTCGAGTGCTGAGGGACCCAAATTTTGGATACTAGCCCTCATTGTGTGCATCTAAAGTTGTACCAAATAATAATATTTATTAGACCAAGAGTGTTTTATTTCAATATTTCGGTATTTGTTAGAGTTCGCTTGATATCTTCAGATCCGATTGGATTTGGCCTAATTTCTAACGTTATTCTCTAACAGGCCATTTATTGATTAGTTTTCTATATCATTATTTTTATATTTTTAGTTGTGTTTTTCATTTTTGTTATCTTTTACTCCATCCGTCCCCAACGGAACTACAATCTTTGACTCTTCGTTCAACGTGTAAAATGGCATCTTTTTAAAATTTGCTCCCTCCGTCCCCAATTTGATTACAAATTGCGGGTTACGGAGTAAAATTTTTTACTTTTTGAAATCATTTTATTTACAAATTGGTATATCAATAAGATATAAAAATTACATATTAAAAAACTACGTCAAAAGTTCTACAAAACAAGAGGTGACAAGAATATTTTATTTTATCAAATATTTAATGAAATCACGTAAACAAACAAAAGTTATCGAGAGGAGAGAGAAAAAAAGATTGTAATCTATTTAGGGACGGAGGGAGTATTTTATTTACAAACTATATAGAAATAAAAATAAAATTTACAATTCAAAAACTACATCAAAAGTTTTACAAAACAAAAAGTGATAAGAATATTTTATTTTATTACATAATCGATGAAAACATGCAAAAAAAGAACAAAAGTCATTGAGAATCCGTTATAATAACTGTGTAATTCAATTGGGAACGGAGAAAGTATATCTTTTTTTAATTAAGACTAATGTTTAACAAAAAAGAAAATAAAAGCAAAAATTTTTAAAAAATATTCTCAACTTTCATGTTATTGCGCAAAAGAAGTTATTTTCGTTAACGACGACTCAAAACTCGCACATTTTAGGAAAAAAATGAGATTATTATGCATTACAGTGAAATGAGAAATTATTGCTTTAAATATTAGGTAAAGTTAATTTAAGATTACTTTGGATCATATTTTTTAAAAATGGTTGCAAACTATTACTCTCTCGTCCCAATTTATGTTCTGTGTTTACTATTTATATTGTCAAACCGTAATTACTTTATTTACTCATTTTCATTCACCTCTTGTTTTTGTGAAATTTATGTAAATTTTAAATATATAAATTTAATTATTTTAATTCTATCTCAATTTTCAGATAAAGTCATTAAAACATATATTTGTGAGAGTTAGCTTGTTATCATATTCTTTACCCCAAAATCTATTTCATTTAAAAATCCAAACACACTTTTTTTAGTTGTCTCTTACTTGTACCTCACCTTGTACCCCGCATGTTTGCACCAACATTTTGTATTGGTGTAAGACTAATTTTCGTTAACGCATCAACACTTTGTGTCCGTGTAAATTTTTGTTAACGCACTAACATTTGTGTCGGTGTAAATAATCAAAATGTTTGTGTATAACTGCGGTGTACAAATGAGGTACAATTTTTGGTATAAATGTAGCATGGTCCAAAAAAATGAAATATACTCCATCCCTCCTAAAACCATCATTCCGTTTGTGTTTACGAGGTTTGACCGACTTTATTTTCATTTCAATTTATTTGATTGTAGGTGTAAAATTAAAAAATAAAATTTATATATTTAAAAACTACATCAAAAGTTCTATAAAATAAGAGGAGACAAAATTATATTATTTTATCAAATAAATAACAAAAATAAGTAAAAAAAAAGTAATTTAATTTTGATCGTATCAAAATAATCTTGCAAGAAACACATGCTCGGGCCTCGTAGGTACCGTTGCCATCATCAATTTGTACGAAATGTACAGTGTACGTGCAGTTGTGGGGATGGCAATGAACGGCCTTCTTGCATCTTGAGTTGAGAGGGGAACTTCTCACTCTTCTTACCATTGGAGAACCAGACTTGACCTTTTTGGAGCTGAGACATGACGATGTTGTTGGCAAAACATCACCGGCACATCCCAAACAACGTAATCATCCTTCTCCACCTGCTATTCCAGTCCACGCATTCCTCCCCGGCCGCCGCCGCCGCCGCCGGAGCACACCCAAAGCCCCCTCCACTCCCACTTCTACCCATCCCGACATCACGGCAGCTCTCATGGCAGCATTCCGAGATGGCCATGTTCTTCCACTTCGGGCCCAACACTTTCACCGATTCGGAATGGGGAACGGGTCGGGCGGACCCGTCGATCTTCAACCCGACCAGTCTCAATGCCACCCAGTGGGTCTCCGTCGCCAAGGAGAATGGGTTCTCCAGAGTCGTCCTCACGGCCAAGCACCATGATGGGTTTTGCCTCTGGCCCTCTGAGTACACTGATTACTCCGTCAAGTCTAGCCCTTGGAGGAACGGGTCGGGTGATGTGGTGGCCGAGTTGGCTCAGGCTACAAGGGACTCTGGCCTCCAATTGGGACTTTATCTTTCCCCTTGGGACAGACATGACCCTTCATTTGGGAAGACTATAGAGTACAATGAATACTATTTGGGGCAGATGACTGAATTGCTTACTAGGTACGTATATAATCCATCAATTTCAGTTTCAGTTTCCCTTTCATATTCCAACTCTTATATATATATGTGTGTGTGGTTTTATGTTCATTATTGTTCAAAATTGCATACGTTTTGACACTTTAGATCTTAACTAAGTTGGGATTATATTCAATGCTTTGTTTAATGAAAATGCAAGCCTTTTATATATAATGTAGATATGGTGAGGTGAAAGAAGTTTTCTTGGACGGTGCAAAGGGAGAGGGGGAGAAGGATATGGAGTATTACTTTGATGATTGGTTCGACCTGATTCATCAGCTCCAACCCGAGGCTGCAATTTTCTCTGAAGCCGGCCCGGATACCAGATGGGTAGGCAACGAAGCCGGTTTTGGTGGCACCACTTCTTGGTCTCTCTTCAATAGTAGTAATGCCACTATTGGTGGAACCGACACCGGGTACTTAGGACAAGGTGACCCTTTGGGCCGCGATTGGGTCCCTCCCGAATGCGACCTCTCAATCAGACCCGGCTGGTTTTGGCACGCTTCTGAGGTACCCAAGACTGCAATGGCTCTTCTTGACATATACTACAAGTCAGTTGGCAGGAACTGCCTCCTTTTGTTAAACGTGCCACCAAACACTTATGGTCTGATACCGGACGAAGACATACGAGTCCTCAGAGAGTTCACCCATATCCGAGCATCCATATTTTCCCACAACCTAGCCAAACATGCTGTTCCTTCTGCCAGCAGTACAAGAGGGGGAAACGACTCCCATTTCGCGCCGAAAAACGTTCTTCTAGAAGGAACACGTACTTATTGGGCACCAGGAGGGGATCGTTCCGAATCCGTGCTGTACCTTTGTTTTCAAGAACCCCAGACATTCAATGTGATGGAGATCAAAGAGCCAATCCAGATGGGGCAGCGGGTCATTGAGTTCCACATCGATGCGTTGAATGAAAACAGGGAGTGGGAGGAGTTAGCAGATGGAACTACGGTTGGGTACCGGCGGTTTCTGCTGTTTCCTATAGTGAGAACGGAGGGAGTGAGGCTTGTGATTGACAAGTGCAGGGGAGAACCTCTGATCTCATATGTGGGATTGTATATGGACTGGTTTTCCGTCCAGGAGGGTGATAATAATAATAATAAGTCTGGGTTGCTTTGGTCTGATAGCAAACGTTTGTTTACAGGATTGCCCACGGCTTCTTCCATCTAAGGATTAGTTTCAACCCTTTGTCTGATGCCATATTTGGTTTTGGCTTGTACTCATTTGAGTGTGCATGAATGTATTACGGAGTATTATTGTAACTAGACTAGATGAATGTCACCTGCATTTTCATGGTCTGTCTTTTTGCGATGATTGGATGATTTAGAATGGGAATAAAGTCTTTAATGAAGGGACATCCGTGTGACTGAATTTTGAATTGGCCTTGATTACATATATGGTGTTTCCACATGAATATTCATTTTCGAAAAACAAAATATTTATTTTCGAGTAATTGAATACTCATTTTTGAACATAACTAAATTTTAGAAAAATGAATACTCCGTGGAGTATCAATTACTTGAAAATTAAGTATTGACTTGATGGACAATGGAAATTCAGTAACTCATATATTAGTACCGCCGCAGATGTATGGAAAACATCGTACAACCGGTTGTACGATATATATTGCGTAAGGGGAGGGACGGGGTTTAGGAGGGGTTCGAAGGTAAGAACCATCATTTTATAAACTCATGTCGCACCGTAAATAAGCGGTGTCAAAATAGACAAGATCTAAAAAAAATTCACATTCAATAAACATTTAAAATAAAATTCATTTCTTCCTTTTTTGTCATTTTATATTGCTTATAATGAAAAATTCAAGGGTACTAACTCTAAACCCCGACCAAATCTCCAACTATCTGAATGCACTAGGTATAAAAGAGTGTAGATGGAGAAGAGTCTAAACGAAAGTTTGAAATCTTTTATGGGTCTAAAGGTTACCCACAAAAAATTAATCGTGCAAATAAGGCTCTGTTCCGTACGCCTAATCTGATTGAATCTGATCTGAATTTTTGAAGTTCTGATCTGATCTGATCTGATTGGATCTGATCTGATCTGATTGGATCTGATCTGATCTGATTGGATCTGATCTGATCTGATTGGGTCTGATCTGATCTGATTGGGTCTGATCTGATCTGATTGGGTCTGATCTGATCTGATTGGATCTGATCTGATTAGATCTGATTTTCTCTAATTAGATCCGGTGTAAATGAATTTAAATTTAATTTAAATTAAACTTAAAATTATTACAAAATTTAGTAGTTTTAAAGTATTACAATTTATATATACATAAAAAAAAGTAAAATAAGAAAATCAACTAATCATTAATATGTTTAAACTTTTTTAAAAAATATTAAACATCTTTTCAATATCACAACTTTTTTAATTTTTGTGAAAACTAAATAATCGGTATTAAAATAAACAAATATTAGAAAATATTGATGCTATTCTACAAAATTATCACATTCTATATACACATTACATAATAATATATTTCATGTTATAAATTAAAGATCATATAAAATTTTAAACACTAATATCATTTTCACTTCTATCAATTTTGTCATAAACTCACCCTTGAGTATATTATACCATCTTAAAGTTTAAAAGTAAGTCTTTTTAAATATAAAATATTTATAGTTTTGAAAACTAAGTTTTGTATAATTACTCCGTATTTTATAAACAAGTATTTTAAAATAACTCTTTTTAAAGTATGAAAAATAAAACTTTTTAAGCTTTAACATTGCTTCCATGCATCATTTCTATCCTACATGCTAAACAATAATAATAATAATAATAATAATAATAATAATAATAATAATAATAACAATAATAATAATAATAATACAACAATAATATTTAAAATTATAATATTAATTAAGATTTAGGTGTATGTAGTTTTAATTAAAGTAATGTGATTTAATCAAATAATAGTAATTTTTATTTAATCCTTGAAAAATATAAATATTATCTTTTATATTTTTTCTTGATTTGATATTATTGGATTTGATCTGGTCTGATCTAATCTGACTGGATCTGGTCTGATCTGATTGGTTCTGGTCTGATCTGATTGGTTCTGATCTGATCTGATTGTATCTGATCTGATCTGATTGGATCTGATCTGATCTGATTGGATCTGATCTGATTGGATCTGATCTGATCTGATTAGGTCTGGTCTGATCTGATTTTAATAAGAATAAGTAATAAGTAGAAAAAATAAGTCCTACGGAACGGACCCTAAAACAGATCGAACATGCAAACACACCAGAAAAATGCTATAACACTAATCATAGACACTGGCCATTATTGACAAAAAGGTGAAAAAATAAGTTTCATCCGTACTTTGAGTATGAACTTCGGTTAAAATTATTAGACCTGATCAAAGTATGGGTCGGGCCAAGATGCTAAATTATGTGAATTTTCGAGGCTCGAGCCCGGCCCGACACGTATATTGGGCCTAACAATTGAAGCCCAAGTCCGACCCACATGGGTAGGGATGAGCACGTACCGAACCGATACCGAAATTTCCCGAAAAAATCGAGAATTCGGAACCGAAAAATACCGAACCGAAAAAGTACTGAGAAGGAACCGAACCGAATGGTCGGTACGGTATTTGGGAACGGTATGAGGTGATGTCTCATACCGAAAATCCCGAACCGAACATATATACTAAAATATTATAAAAAATAATACTCTAGAGTAATATTTTTATATTCCTTCACTAAATAATAATTTTAAAAAAATTGGTTCAAGTTCTATTATGTGTAAATTATACTTTTATTTGAGTTTTAGTTTCTGTGTATGAACATAAAAATATTCGCAAAGATTCCAAATACTTCTTTGTTGTCGTTCGTTTTTTTAGTTTGTGAAATACTGAGTATAAACTAAGTTTTGATACGCACCTCTTGCATTTAAATATTAATTTTTTTAATTTTTTTTTCATATTTTTTATTTAAATTCACTTTTAATTTTCAAAAATAAAGGGGCGTTGTTAAATTATAAGGTGTAAAGTAGGTATGTATATTCATCCCGATTTGTACCGAGACCGATCCCGAACCATACCGAACCGATATTTTGGGATCGGGATCGGTACGGAATAAAATCACATACCAAACCGAAATATTTGGTACGGTATCGGTATCGGTATGAGCTAAATACCGTACCATGCTCACCCCTACACATGGGTACCCACGGACTTTGGGTCGGCCCAACCTGCCGCATGACAAAAGCTTCTAAATAATTAAAAAAATATTTTTAAAAAAAAATTAAATAATGGGTTAACATATTAGATGTTTGATAAAATAACTTTAATGAGTATATCAAAGAACGACTAATATATAAAATGTATTTTGTTTGATATTGCCATTACAGAGTGCGAAGTATTATTTATTTGCATGTAATTGTCAATGTGCAATGCACAGTGAAATAATACAAAGTAATAAAGATGTATTTATTTTATTAAATATAGTTATAATTTACTTTTTTCCCATAAAAGTATGTTTGTGTAAATAAAAATTTGAAATAGTATTAGTCTTATTATTATTACTATTATTATTATTAATGTTGTTATTATTGTTTTATTATAATTATATATACTAATAATAAATATTTTGATTTACTCGGACCGGGCCGGCCCATGGCTTAAACATAAAACTCAAGCTCGGCCCTAAAGTATTCGGGATGCTATTTATAAAGTCCGAATCCGACCCGCACTCTAAAATGTCAAATTCAAACCCGCTATTTTTCGAGCGCGTCGGATACCCGGTCCTATGATCGGGTCTAGTTAAAATTCACACAAAATTTAACAAATGGGGTGTTAGTACAAGAATCTTCTCACCATAGAGGGGTACAATGTACTTTTTAGACTACCCGAGGTAGTACACACTTTTGAAGTGCCGAGAAGTCTGGTGCAGTCTATGATATATTTAAAAAGAGGAGAATTCCTCATTGCATTTTCCTACCTAAACGTTTCAGTCACAAAAGATACGTACTAAAATTTGAAATGCTAAGTGTAGAATATAGGTGTCGAGTATAAGGTAATCTCATAATTATTTACTCTTTAACTTTTCTTTTATAGTTATTAATAATTATTGAAGAATTGTATTTTCATTGATTAATTATGTGAGGAGTACAAGTATATATATACATCTCAATCCTAGTTATGGTAGGAGAGGTATTCTAGGAAAGCTATACAAGTATGGAAACAAATCATAATACAATAATATTAAATATATTAAATATATTTAACATGCTCCCGGCTACGTCGGATGTGCTGGGGTCGGATACCCAGGCTTTCTCTGAAGTCCAGAAATAAGAGAGAGGGCAGTCCTTTTGTGAAGATATCGGCGAACTGAGAGGATGAAGGAACATGAAGGACTTTGATCTGGCCAAGCGCCACTTTATCGCGTACAAAGTGTATGTCAACCTCGACGTGCTTGGTGCGCTGATGTTGCACCGGATTTGATGATAGATAGACGGCACTAACATTGTCACAGAAGACGAGTGTGGCGCGACGGAGTGGTTGTTGCAGCTCAAGAAGGAGATTCCGGATCCAGCAGGTCTCTGCAACAGCATTGGCAACGGCTCGATATTCTGCCTCGGCGCTAGAACGAGAGGTGGTGGCCTGGCGTTTGGAAGACCAGGAAACGAGGTTGTCGCCCAGAAAGACACAGTAACCTGATGTGGAGTGTCTGGTGTCAGGGCAGCCAGCCCAATCAGCATCGGAGTAAGCCTGTAAATAATCGGTGGCAGATCGTGTCAGATGGATCCCGTGGGTGGCAGTGCCACTAAGATAGCGAAGAACTCGCTTCATGGCAGTAAGATGTGAATCGCGTGGTGCATGGAGGTGTAGACAGAGCTGCTGAACTGCATATGTGATATC